CGAGCTGAGACGGTCCGACGCTTCCAGCGTGCGATGGTAGTACAGAGCTGTATCAGTAGTCGGAATTGTTGTCCAGGAGTGACTTGATGTAAACATGGATGCAATACGCCAACGTCACGAATTGGATCATCAACGCCAGGGCGGCAAGCCCCATCAATGGGCCCCAGAAATCCGCTAGGCTGTTGTCGTGATTAATGTGGCATATGTTGCCGAATCGATATGATATTCCTGTTATGGATAAGGCAAGGGCCAAACCGACCGCTGGTATTACCCAGCCCAATGTCAGCGTTGTGAAAAAGAATTTATGTCCAGGGACAACATCCCAGCAAATTTGCAAATGCAGCGATAAGGCGCGACAAAAGCCTGTGTAGCCAGATTAGCATTGAATACGGAATATTTGGGATAATATGTCGTGGTTGAAAAATTTTTGAGAGCTTACTCCATACGATGACACCCCAACCACCAAATAAGATAAAGGAGCCTGAGAACGCGCAAGCCAAATCCGATTCCATATGATTTGGAGTAATCGCATTAAAACATTCGTCCGGTTTTGCGATCAAAGGGACAATAAACGAGAGCTATTTGATGGAAGTCAGCAGGGTTATTAACTTGAGAGCCACAATCAAGGTCACTTGCTCGAAAGGGGTTTTCATGGGAGGAATGGACTATCAATACCTCCATAAATACAATCCCAACAGTCAGACACACGCCTAAGTAGTGGCGGTGCGTCCACCTCACGGGTAATACCGCAAAGCTAATCAACAACAGGCAGTTCAAGGTGAATATTGCTACCGCAATCCAATTGGCAACTTCGGTTTTATTCATGAAATCTTTGTGTATGTTAGTCTAGGTCGACGCCGCCGCGAATAGGAGAGATATAAGTACCGTTAGGGTATCTCCAGTCAGCATGTGGGCATGGAAGGCAGCACGATGCATTTCCATTTTTGACTGGGAATGGCTCGCACCATCTGCCGGTAACAACTGCAACGATTCAGTACATGGGATTTTTATACATCCGTTATCACTCTGAATAAAATAGGACACGAGGTGGTTTGACATACATCCGCCTGTAGATGGGAAAAGGTCTTCCTGCATGAACGGGGCTGGGCAATTCCCATACATATCCGAAGGCCCTGCCATATCAGCGTGCCGACGTGGCGGCGCTGCTGCTGCTGGTTCCGTTCCTTTTGTTTAAACCTGCCCCGCGGACGTATAAACTGTCATATCCTCCCTTGGACGCATCAGAACCAGCCAACGGTAATACGTAGATGGTATGCGAAGGGCTTTTACCCCCAATATTCGCAGCCGGAAGACCACAGCCTTGAGGAGTTCCAAACGTTAAAAGGAGGGACAGGCGAAAAGAACCAATTGCTCAGAAACATAAAGTTCTGGCGCTTTTGCAAACGTTGTCTAAAATATAGAAAAGATAAAGATCTTTAGAAATGAAGAATCTACTTCATATAGAAATGAAGTATTAAAATACGGGGTGTTAAACGAAAGGAAGGGGAACCATTAAGGTTCCAAAAATCAAAATCCAAAGGGGACATGCCAATATAATAAGAACGAAACTCCGGAGTGGCCTTAAGAAAACGTCGAAGGCCAAACAGTAGCCATGGCTAGTCAAAACCACAGCGCAATATTATTTTTGTTTTGGCACCAGGCTCGTGTATCCGCTAATAAAAACCGGACAGCAAGATACTACAAGGGACCGAGGGTTACTCCCCTGTGCCTGCCCAGCGTGCCCATACATTTCAGAAGGTGACAAGAAATCGGACTGGTGGACTGGAGGATTCGGGAAAGTGGGACAGTCCATCCAGGGTCCCAAGCATGCGATGTAGGAGCCTGGAGGAGCGATGAGCGCTATGGAGGGACAGTTCCACCAGCGACAGCGCCTCACCTATCAGCGCAAGGAACAGCCATCCCCCAGAAGTGACTTCGAGGAAAGTCCCCTGTCAGTCCCATGCTCGACATGCTTGTTCCACCAGGCACAGCAGGAGGATCCAGCTGGCCGCACGGTCTCCGTGACTTCTGCACACATCATTTGTTGGCGCGAAGGCGTCCCGAGGTGACTTGACTGCGGAGGGGCGAGCCGATTCAGGTCCACTGACTGGATTTGAAAAGGTTGCGCCAAGCCGTAAGCCCCAGGGGCGGGTGTTGAAAAGCTCTATTCCTTACACCTAACTCGCAGATAGGCGTAGTGTGCAGACGAAGGGAAAACATCCATTCCTATGATTGCGATTCTTACAAAGTGGCGAAAACAAAAATCGTCACAGAGTGCGGGTACGTTGTTGAGCCAAGCGGCTCGCACCGATTGGCGGTGGATTTACGGTTGGCCCTTGGGTTAGAAGCAGAAGACCGCTAGCGATGATGGCAAGAAAAAGGATTTCTAGATGGCGACAGGAAAAAAGAGCAAAGTGGAAGGCAACTTGATATCAAGGACTCCGAATGACTCCGACTCTCCGAGAGAGTCCGCCTGCGACATTTCAGTTAACTAGCAGCCCTGCACATTTTCTCGAGAATATTCACCCGGGCGAGGAGCCGAAGGGGATGCTTGTGAGTAGCCTTGTCGCACCAGGGCAGTCCCTTGCTAGGTTACTTGCTGGGAATCCACAAGGACGAGTAACCAGCGCTGGAGCACAGCGTCCAGACCGTTCACTGAAAAAGGCGGAGTGGAGCGGCGTTGCCTTCTTGGCTCCATTTTTACTTTTTGCCTACGCCGTCTGTCAGTTGAAATCTCTGTGCCCGTATTTTGATTCTGCCTCCCTTCGACGGTGGGGTAGCCAGAAGAAGAGGGGACAAACGCCCGTGATGTATGCAACTCAGGCTTGTGAGGTTCGGGGAGGTTTGACCGTTTGGAAGCTCAGAGCCAAAATAGTTACAGCTGATCAGACTCGATACAAAACCAGACAAAATGATGGATTCCTGACCCACCGGACAATCTGTACTCAGCCATTTATGACAAGATACTGTCTCTTTTCTAGCACTCCGAAATAGGCTTTCCACACTTTATTTTGTCTCAATGATTGAAGTGCCCGACCTTGGAGGATGCTCTTGTCCTACTCGCTACTGCCAGCTTTCTCTGTTCTGGTAGGCGAACTGAACGCCGTTTGGTCTTATAACTTTTATTTACTCCGTTATCTACAGAAGGAATTTATGCTATACACATAATCTTAATTCTGGCGGTTTGTACTTGTTCGTTAAATTGATTTGATTCGTTCTTCATACAACCAACGATGTATTCGGATGATGATCAGATCACTGCACGATTTCTCATTTCTCATAACCTCGGCGGCTTTCTGGGTTTCAGTCCAAATTTTTACATAAACTCTCCATATGAGCTTGATTCCCGATGCATGCTATGCAAGCCCCAAAGATATAAAACTATCCGCGGTCAGCGTGCATGTCTCAAAGGCTTTGGAGCAATCAAATTAATAAATGCCCTTTTAGCGCGAGGCGGTAAAAAACCCCGAATTTGTTTTAGCTAGGACCTGGAGACGAAACGTAAGATATGGGCAGAGGAATAATCGATGTTCTCATTTCCGAGCCTGAGGGGACATAACATGCGTCCACCATGCCGCACCTCTATAGTAATTGGCAGATTCCAACCACAGCATCTCAATTGGCAAGAGGAGAATCTCTAAGATCCTATTTTCCCGCAAGGAAGAAAAAAGGAATGGTTCCAGGAAGCGCTAACCACACATTGGTTCCATGGCTCTGGGTAAAACTTCCAGGGACTGTACAACCACATTAACGTGGACAGTAGAGGCCAGTTTTCCCATGACGGACATCCTGATACATCATGGGGCCAATATGGGAGGGGCCCGCCGCCAGACAGGTTGATAACATGTTGTACGGAGTCATTGGCATCTGAGATCTTGAGCCTTAACCTGAACCATACGAGTATCCATTTATCTGAGGAAATCTGGAGAACAATGGAATTATGTTTTAACATGAGCCAGAGGAAACAATCAGCGTTTGATCTGCTTCTGGAGCAACAGAGTGTGAATGACCAGGGTGTTGGTCAAACCCACCGCTCAACAGTAATAATAAAATAAATACCTTAAATTTGGCAAAAACCTTGGGTAAAAGTGACAATTTGAATCGACGTGGGTATCCTTGCATTATTGGAATTTCTATTTTCCCCAACTTTCCCTTGCATCGACGAGATATAGAAAACTAATGAATCCCACGTGCTGAAATCACCTACTCCAAAGGCGCGCTATTTCTCCTCGGGTGTCCAAGCGATAGTATTTCCTTAGCCGAATGCAAAGACCAATTACGGAGACTTGCGGGAAATTTTGTTGCTGACTTGATAATTGGCTCGGTGCAGGGTGAGAAGACAAAAATTTCCAAGTTCTGCGAATCTCGATGTCAGATTCCTTCAAGAAAGAGTCGAGGCTTGCGGAGAGGCCTTTCGGAGTCCTCTAACTGGCTTGATAATGATTGATAATTAACTAACTATTGTAACTAACTAGTTATTATCCTTGAGATGATATTATTAATAGTCGTTTTATCACTGCTAGATTTAACTGGTTGGTTAGTGTCTTTCGGTAATTCTCAAACCAACTAGTAGAGAAAATAGCTCTTGTTTAAAGCTTGTGAGGAGTTAGGGAAAAGTCCGGCGATCACCCCCGCGACAGTTCCAGAGACATTTCGAGAAAAGGAAAACTGGAATTTCCATGTGGACTGTAGGGACCAAGATGGCATCATATAGTTTGATCTGACATGGAATCTGAAGCCCTGGCTCCCATGTAAATACAACGCTGCTGTGGAATGGCCCGGGCCGCATGTGCCAACGCCATCCAAAATAGACGGTTAAGTATCGTAAGGAGCAACGCCCTATCTAGTAAGAGCTGCTATCGAGAAAGAAAAAGAAAAAGGAGAGGAGCGAGGGATGGAGGGAGGATGAGAGAGGATGAGCTGGAATCCTGTCCTTGTAGGCAAGAATAAACCAATGCCGTTTGCTCTGATGGTCATTCCTCTCAAGACATTCATTTGCGGCGGAGGCACCACAGCATGATTCGCATCCCTAGGCTGCGGCAAAATGTAAGAGGCAACAGCACCTCCTTTCCCAGCTACAGTGGGCCATCTAGGACAGACAGGCATTTGCTGATGTAGGGATTCGCCACAAAACAGTCAGCACTCCATGAACGTTACGGCACAGTGAGAAATTTTTCCAATTTTTCATAGCTGACGCCAGTGCTTTGCATTGTCTAGGAGAAGAAGGATTGAATTGGCGAAACCCCTCTGAATCTGCGAATACGGCAGTAAGCTGTTCTATTCTCCTTCCCCTCAATCAGACGCCGCATAATATCTTCGATGATATTATCAAGTGGCGAATATCATGGGCGTTTAAAAACGGACCATTTTCCAAGCTAGCTGGGAAAACGAATGTCATAGGCTTGCCTGTGAAACGAGCACCCAATCAACAGCTGCCATTCATACCTTCCGTTGACGATGCTCCGAATTGGCTCTTGGAGCTCTCCACAGCACCGACACAAGGCTGAGCCGGTGCGGGATATCTGAGAACCAGTGAAAATGAATATCGTGGTTGTCATAGTCGCTTGCTGGTATCGTCATATTTAGCTTTTGGCCTATCAACGGGTAATTCTCCGTTATCAACACACGCTAGCTATTGTTGGCACTCTCGCATTTTATGGCTGCGGCATTGCTTTTAGATTTGCGGGGGCTGGGCTTGGAGGAAGCCGTTTGAGTGGATAAATCCGTCTCACGAGTCTTCTGACTCCAATGCTTCTGTTTTTTTTCGTTTCCTGGCTGCTCGCCTCTTCCAGTCGATATTTACATCCCATGTTGTGCTATTGGAGGCCACCGCGAGCTGAATCTCAGCATATCAAACAATCATATATGCCTCCGCGGCCCATAAAAGGAAACATCATTCGAATAAGGGAACCTTATGTGATATTGAACAAGGTTCATCTCCAATCCAAACATACAGAATACATCTTTTGATGCCGTTACCACTCCAGATACAGAACTACACGGAGTAAATCATGCGCAGCCAGTGATCCCCAATTCGAACATGTTGAATCTTCCCCACACATGTGTTTTTCATTATTCGCCCTCTCGAATCGCCTAGGTGAAGAAGCTCGTTGGCACGGTTCATGCTTGTCCACTGGGAGTGAAGGACGTGCTCAACAAAACTCAATTTTCAAGTGCATTCAAGATCTACAGTACGAGTTACCCATCAAAAACAATCACAACAGATGCCCATCACCGCCGATTCCATCTTCTTTAGTCACCTCATAATGATGTTGGGAGCTGTTGCGAATAGTTCAAAATAGTTGAGCATCTATAGTGTGAGTGCGCGCGAGTAACAGATTGGTATCTTGAAGAGCTATCTTCGAGCTTCTAACCCATGTGGTGCCACAAGACGCAACTCTTGTCAATTTGGCCAATGGACATCCCTCAGTTGAGACGGACTCGAGCACGGATACATGGTCAGACAGGCCGTACGTGTGAGCACTGCATATATGACCAGCAGAGAGAAGAGGTCATCAGATCTCAGTGATGATATTATCGAGCTTTATTTTCCAAACTTGGGTTCTGATCCATTCGAGAGGAAAAAGAAACTCTCCTGGGATGCATGCACCCAGTGATATATAGCTTTGGGGGGACCAGCATTCTTTGCAAAACGTGGTTTACCTGCAGTGACCCACTCCCCGCCTCTCCTGTGGAAGAACTTAAGATCAAAACACAACTCGAAGCGTGGTAGCACAAAGAGGAATGAGGGAGTCTTTCTTGTTATTTCCCCTTTCCTTCTTCATTGACATTAAATTCATTTATAAGTACGAAGGATCTGCATATCCGCCCGCCCTTATGCCCCTGATCTTCCAGTGGTGCATTGTGCGTAAGACACAGCAGCTTTAGAATCTATACCTCACTTAACTGCCTTGCTGCTTGATGGTGATGGATCCTCCCATGTGGATGGCGGAAGTGTGAACATGGGAACAGTGCCCAAATCTCACGGAAGACCAGGAGGCAGCACTTGTCATTGTTTGAATTACGGTGGTGGTGTATTTTGGTTGTACATTGACGCACGGCCAACATATATCGACATGTCCATTCATGTATATGGCCAAAAGGGTAGGCAATCAAATAGGGGGTTGATTCTAACCATGGCCTCCTCCCTAACTTGTTTCCCTAACCTTTTTGGCTGCCGCCGCAGGTTCCAAAGACATGGGGGCACGGCATGGCATGGCAGTGCGGGGTTCTTGCCAAAGGTCTCGGGCATTCTACAAGCCTGATAGAATGGTGTTGTGTTTCTGAGAATGAAGGATTATCTATTGCAGACGACGGTAGTGAGGGTTGGGTATTATCAACATACTCCTGACGAGCGTCCTTATCCGGAAATCATTGATGATCGCTGTGCTAACGATCGAAAATAGAGACCCATCAAGCAAGAGTCAGGTTCTTGACTTCGAAGAATTTCCTTTCCTATTGTAGGTAGCTTAAAGCAAAAGACCAATATGCTAATTGGTCGTCATATTACAGCGACAATCGATTGCCTGCACTATCAGACAACTTGCAAACGATGCCAACGCTGGGAGGCTGGAGTATTGAGCAGGGCATTGATCAAGAAACATCGTCCCCTCATCACGTTTATTGATCATAGATAACTACTAGGTAGGAAATGTAAAAGCCGGTGGCCTCGGACCGGCCCGCAACCGCCCAACGACAATTGGTCTGCATTGGAAGCCAGCACTGACCAAACATATGGTCAGTGCTACAGACCCGATAAACTTCGGCATGGTTTGGATGCATGGACTGATGTTCGGCAAACTGCAGGTAGCTTGTTTTTTCTAAGTCCGGCAAACACAGGGCCACGAAAAGGGAAACTGACCGGCTGTGAAACGAGATATATCTAAGCAAAGAGGGGTTGTGAGTAAATGTTCATTAGAGGAACAATACGGATTAGCACACTCAACGAAAAAGAAAAAAACAAATACTTAACTGTTATTGAGGTAGGGTAGGTGAGAAGCATGAATTAGGAATTTGGAAAAAAAGATATAAGGAACGAAAATTGGTGCCTAAGGGTGCACGCTAAAGAGGTTATCATAGTGTAACTCGAGTCAACCTTGTAGATATTGGGAAGCAACCTACACGGGTAGCTATCCAATGAGGGATGAATGCGCACTCAAAAAATATATTGATTAGGGAAGGGGGGGGTGTCATATGTAGGATAAGAAGATCGTTGCTGTATTGATTTAATTGAAGTTTTGAAATATAATCCAGGAACGGACAAATAAAGGAGGTTTATGGGAAGTAGATGCAACCACTCCGACCTCCTCTTACAAGAAGATGTCCCACCTGTTCGTAGTTCATCATGAGCTTGCACCCAAGGAATCTTGGGCGAAGTATGCTGCTTCGTGCTACGCCGGTACGATGCTGTAAGAGATGTCTATACGCTTGAGGTTCGCCGACAATGCATTTGTGTGGAACAGGGTAAAGAATGGCACGTCATCTGCAATACGGACTAGGCATATCATCGGAGACTCAGGGAAAGCACAAATATGGAGGTAGGTAATAGTATTTCAGAGGGCTATTTAATATGTGCCGGAGAAATATTTCTCGGAAAAGGTCGAGGCACGCATGTGGAGAGAAGGGAAAGTGCGTAACACAGAAATGAAGCTCATGGGATTTGTGGTCCTTCTATAAGATATCATATATTAACAGCTTCTGACCCAAATCGGAGCATGTTTCACACGTTTAAACATTACATATAAGATCATTCCACCTATCCACGAGTTTTTGTAAAACAATTGACAGGGGTAAATCAATATTATCCTAGATGAATTAATTCATCGAAGATGTTCAATATCATTTAACGGCATATAAGTGGAGGGTGAACCGATAAATTGTGGAATAACGGAATGCTAGACAGCATGGAATCTCTTCCAAGTACAATTTGTCGATGGTAACTAAGTCCCTAATCTGATTTTCAAGTAGTTTGGGGAATCCACGTAATCTATATCATATTTCGAGGTTAGCCCTGCAATCAGAACAGCTGCACAGTAATGTGCTAGTAGTTCAGAGAATCGACAATGCTAATTAGGATGCAAATCAGAAGTCCATATAGATCATTGGAGAGAAACCATAGGTTCCACCCCTGACATAAGAGGTACCAGAAAATTGTATTTGGTGTATATCATCATTGGCAAGAAGGAACATCGGGGGGCATAACAAGATGCAACGTACCAATTCAAGAATTCAAGCCAATTTGTTAGCTGGTACAGTGTTAATGATGTTAGCGCATAACGACATCGAAACCCAACAACGGTTGATGGTGTTATTCCGTTGCAGAACAGTATTATTTTTGAATTTGACTGTGAGGGATGTTGGGGGAAAAAAAATCTTGTCATCTCTGTAGCTCAAAATTGAACGCTAAGACCTTTTTGGACAGTATCACGTGGTATTGCAAAAAGCCCCTGCATGGATGCAATGCCATTACCGACTAATCGTATCGCAGAATGGCGAGCACGTTTTTGCGCTCTGGATGGCGGAATGTGGGGGCGCGGGTGATTTGAACACGGACGATCCAACATCTGCAAATAAGTTGCAGAGAGAGTGACGCCGTTTGGGTCTTGACAATCGCCCAGAAACTTATGACCTTTTGAAATATCTGCGGAAAATCCTAGTATGTTTGAAGACATTACATGAGAAAGACCTACCTCTGGCTTAGCAATTTGTTATACCTCATCTTGTAACTCATCCTGCTTATAAAAATGCCTTTGAACGCCCTGTTCAGAGGCTGGTATTTACATTACCATGATTCTCGTGCACCCTACGAGGCAAATAATGAGAAACTCACACATCGCTTTCTGGATGTGATTCACCGCAATTGGCATTTGGGATTTACCTCCTTTGGTGGTCCTCCAGTTCATTTCAGAATTTTCTACCAAAAATTTGTCGAAGATCAAAGGGGAATAACACCATGGATCGACGAGCAAACAGTAAGGGACTTATATAGAAATTCGAAAAGCTTCTCAAGGGGCAGTCATCATGCTGACCTTTTTTATTGATGTTTCTAGTATCAAGAGCTATTTGCTCTGTGTCAGGCTTTGCCAGGGCCAGGCAGTACAAAGATGATATTCTGCATCGTTCTAATCCATGCCGGTTTTCTACCGGCTCTTCTTTCCTTCATGATGTGGAGGTTGGTATTGATCTAAGTGTTATTTCCTCAGGATTGGTCTAATATAGCTATCCTATCTAGTCTTCCTGGTGCAATTGGAATGTACGGGCTTTCTCTCGGAGTCCAACGTATAGCTGAAGTGCTTCCTGAGATTGTGTATGCTTTTCTCTCTGGTCTAAATGCCTCTACTGTTGGGATAATCACTTTCGCAGCTGTACAGGTATACATTCATATATTGCCCTTCATCATCTTGTTAACTGCTGGATATAGCTGATCCAATGGTTATAGTTAGCAGAGAAGGCAATCAAAGATCCGCTAACTAGGATTCTCGTTATCATAGGCGGTTGTGCTGGCCTTTGTTTTAATGCACTCTGGTATTTCCCCTTACTTCTAATAATAGGAGGAATATGCAGTATGAGTTGGGACCTCTTCAGTCTCCAGAATATCACCAGAATGAGAAGGAAACTCCGTCGTCGAATGTCAGACCCTCGGCAGGAGGTTGAAGAGAGCGTTGGACAATCAATCACTCTACGTGAGCTTCCACAGCCCACAGGCGGTGTTCAGAAACGATCAGCTCCTGCTCGTAATATCAATCCACTCAGTACTAGTGTTAATCCAGGCGCTGTTAATGAAGAGGAAACAAATATATCTGCGAGTGGAGATACACGCTCGCACAAAATTCCTACCAAATGGGGAATTTTAATCATTGTTGGCTTTTTTGGTAATGCCCCTCTTTACCAGTACGCTACACTATCATCAGCACATCAAACTCACAAGTCACTAGCTACATTTATTGCGATCCTTGTTGCACGTGGAGTTGTTCAAAAACGCCCGCTGGAATTGGATCTATTTGCGAGCATGTATCTTGCGGGCACTATCATCTTCGGAGGTGGTCCTGTTGTCATTCCTCTTCTCCGCGAGTACGTCGTTGGGCCTGGTTGGGTGTCTCCTCGAGATTTCTTGATCGGCCTCGCCATTATCCAAGCTTTCCCGGGACCAAATTTTAATTTCGCCGTTTATCTGGGCGCTTTAGCATTAGCCCCTTCCATGAATCCCACTATTCTGGGTGCATTCCTGGGGTTTCTAGGTATCTTCGTCCCTGGTATTACTCTTGCGGTGGGCTTCCAGAGCATTTGGAGAAGCATTCGAACCATCCCTTTCATTACTAGTCTTTTGAGAGGCATCAATGCCACGGCTGTCGGTTTAGTCTTCACGGCTGTATATCGGCTCTGGGAAATTGGGTTTCTGAGTGCTGACTCTGTAGCGGGTCAAAGTTTGGGAAAGGAACCCTTTTGGCTGGTCGTGGCGGCCATATCATATGCTGGAAATGCATGGTTCAAGGTCCCTCCAGCTGCTGCTATTCTTATGGGTGGTATTTTGGGTTTGTGTTGGTATGGTGTCGTGAGACGACAATAAGATGAAAAGATTTGGGAAGTAGAAATCCTTTGTTTAGGCCACCCAGGAGATGGCCATTTTGATAATTTTATGTTCTCCCACAAACTGATATTCTATGATATACATTTATTACACCCTGATAACTGTGGATTTCATGAAAACCCTTTTGATCCATGAGATGTGAATTCAGCTTTTCAGCCGATCGTTTTTTGTGCAACTTGTCATATTCTTTCCCATCAGGTGGCATAGTTTATAGATAATATGATGAGAACTTGAAGATATCTATAAATTTTTATTATATCTTCTTTCAAATAAATTATTATTACCTCTTTCAAATTCTAGACAGTGTCTCTATCAGGAAACTAGTGGTTATCTGACAATTCTCTCACTGTTTACACAGAGCTCCTTTGTCCCTTTTTCACACAGCAAGGTGAAGGGTTGGTTTTTCGTTTATATTCATAGACAGCATAAGTTTGGGTAGACAAATAGTACCAAATACCAGCTGCTCCAACTCAAAAGGCATGCGCTGGAAAGAGATTGATTCTTGTAATCTTCCAGGTTGGAAGAGAGGTTGAACTTGGTTTGTTATCATCTATCAGGTTGGTTAGCGGCAGCTAATAAGAGACGAACTAATCCAAAGGTTGGAACGGGTTACAGGTAAACTAAGCGAAAAGGCAAGTCACATGATCCACAACTTCAACTTGCGAACTTTTTTGAGGGACAAACTTGCCGAAGAGAACTCGATCATCATCACATCCTCGCTGTCGACAAAAGATAAAAAGGGAACTCTTACTTCGACTTCCCAAACAACATCAAAATGGGTCGCCTCCACAGCAAAGGAAAGGGTATCTCCGCCTCCGCGATCCCTTATTCGCGCAACCCTCCCTCATGGCTGAAGACGACCCCCGAGCAGGTCGTTGACCAGATATGCAAACTGGCAAAGAAGGGCGCTACTCCCTCTCAAATTGGTGTTATCCTAAGAGACAGCCATGGAATTGCACAGGTTAAGGTTGTTACTGGTATGTCTGGGAATCCATTCAAAAACGAAGAGCGAGGTAAAGCTGGCCAGCGCTGCTAACAACATGGGATTGCACAGGTAATAAGATCCTCCGGATCCTGAAGTCGAACGGTACGAAATCATGTATTATCACAGTTCCCCAGATGGTTGCCGTGGGATGAGAGATATGGGATAGAGGAGTTGGGCGGAAATCAAGCGGAGCTCTCTCTGTTTATCGCGGAATCTTCGACTCAACAGCTTGATCCCACTCATGCTCGTCGATATCTCTTCAAACCCGGCCATCATACCTTGATATTTTTTTGTCACCCCAGCACTGCCTCTGCTTGGTCATTCAATAGGCTGACAGAGAGTCTTTTTTTTGGGCAATACGTCACAGGCCTCGCTCCCGAAATCCCTGAGGACCTTTACATGTTGATCAAGAAGGTAATTTATAACTAACGCAAAAATTCCTTCCATCAATTTATGGCTTTGCCCTACAACCCTCTTTGTGATGCTCTTCTGTCCTTTTCACTAAACAATGCAAATTAGGCCGTCGCTGTCCGCAAGCATCTTGAGCGCAACCGCAAGGACAAGGACAGCAAATTCCGTCTCATTCTCATCGAGTCGCGTATCCACCGCCTGTCCCGCTACTACAAGTCTGTTGGTGTCCTCGCGCCCACCTGGAAATATGAGAGTGCCACTGCCAACACTCTGGTCGCATAAGCGAAAAGACAAAAGAAAAAAGATATGAAAAATCTTTGGTCGTGATATTCAGGTGACAAGCTTCAGGTTCAGAGGAATTAATAGCGGGGTAGAATTTGTTAGGCGGCGGAATGGTTTTGTTTGGCTATGTTAAATAGCTATGAGAAACATTTAGATGAAGTGACGTTCTCGGCGTTAAACGTATAGGAGCCTCAATACTCCCGGATGTTTTCTTTTTACATTCATGCCTTGTATGATATTGTATGAGGATGTATCTACCTCCCACATACATTATTCGCCTTTCACAAGCAGACTCGAAATTCATATTGATACAAGTATTTTCATATTTCGTATTTGTGTTGTATCAGTGAGGGTCAGCAAGTAATCCGAGAAACAGGGTATACTCCATGTCATGCTAGAAAATTTAAGAAAATAGTCCAAGTGTAGGCCGAGCCCAAGGGTATATGTATCCAAAAATTTACTCTTAGCAACCTATCTATATACGGCTATCCAAGTACGGAATAAAGGTAGTCAGTGTGTCAACCCACCTTGCATAATTTAAGCAACAGAGGTTTCTACTCTGACCTCCCTTGCAACAGCATTACACAACTCAACCCTCACACCGGCACCAGTAAGCATATGAATCCACAATCGTTGGGTATCACTTAGCCGGTCATTCTCCGACTTTACCTCCACAAACATAACCTCCTTCCTCTCCATGCTCCAGAGGAACAAGTCTGGGATGCCTCCACCCCTTTGCTGGTACTCCTGTGCCATAACTTTACATACAGTAGCTAGAGCTTCACCGCGGAAACACTGCACAATCTCAACTAGATCGGATAATTCGAACGACCAGTCGATGCCGATGACGCATGTTTCTCTCTCCGCTTCACGGTCATGTACTTCATGAATAAGCTTCTCGGCATCACCATTGGCGATCTGGGCAAGCCTGTGATTGATTTCTGAAGCACGAGTGGGATAAAACGAATCTGTGTGTAGATCTAAGGGACAAGTTTGGAAGGGCGTTTGGAAGACGTTGGGAACATATGCGTAGAGGATGTCATAGAAGAGATATCCAAACTATGCATAACGGGAAGGTGGTAAGCAAATCATGGGAAAGTCTGATCAGGGTTTAGATTGTCAACTTACCAATGTTCGGACTATGCCGCTCTCGCAATGGAAGCCCTTCCACCCCTTGTCTCTATACCAGCTTAGGCACATACTTTCGACTCTACATTCGCCTCCGCCTTCTCGTTCATCTACCCAAACCGTAGGTCTACCTCTTCGAGACACGGAATTCGGGGTTTCCTTCGAACCCAGACTTAATGGGAATATCTTTCTCAATCCGAATTCCTCCCACGATCCGTTCTTCTGGTTTAACCAACATGACATGTCCAAAATCGTGCTGTTCCCGCTTTGTGACTTTCAGCGACTTCTCCAATTTTGTGATTCGTTTCTGTAAATCATAGTGGTATACCAAATGGCAATCAGGATCCTCAAGGCCCTCTTCACACGTACGAAGAGCTGTTCGTTTCCATACCCTCTTTTGTATCTCCTCAGAACGGTTCTCAAACGGGGTTAAAGACCACATATAATGTTCTTCCAGTAGAGCTTTGCGCTGGTACCACGCCCCTCGGCGAGCAGCATGGAATAAACGCTGGTCAAGGAGTTCTGTGAGTAACTCATGCTCCCGCTTATAATTTTTGAAACGGCCCAAGGCATAGAGGCCTTTATGGATTATCCGGGTGTATACCCATGCTGGGGAAAATCGGCGGAGGTATGCACCCTCTCCAGTTTCGTACACATGTTCTTTGTGTTGCTCTTCAGCGATCAGAGCTTTCCATCTTTCATAAACACTTTCGGATAAAGATTTAATGAAAGCTAGCTTCTCCATGATTGGCAGATCCGGTGACTCTAGAGTGTTGTCAATATCAAACTGCACTCGCAAGGCAGCTTCAAACTCCAGTAAGGCAAATCTCGAGGGGAAAATGGAATTGGAACGGGAAACGATATAATTTGGGTAATTCCTCCGCGAAATTTTCGCTAATATAATGGTTGTTAAGGACTTTTCTGTCCATTCCGTAGACCGGTAAAATAGTAAATGAACCCGCTCAAAGAGTCTACGTGGCGCGGAAGAGAGTCTGATGCAGTCACCAGTGTGATCCAAGATCTTTTTTGTGAAATGCAAATCTCGAGTGTTCCCTCGGCTTAACGAATTACTCATCCGATTTAGAGAAGAGTCGCTGGATTCTTCGTCGTCTGGCTTGCATCGTGGGAGCCAGCCAAGTCCTGACTGCGTTGTGCTGGACTCGCGCAATCCTTTCAACAGCTCCTTCTTATTTTTCCCCTGAACTTTGGCTTCCTTTGAAAAGGATTTCAATTCATCTAAGAGGAGCAAGGAGGATGCTTCTTCAAGTGTATTTATTTCTTCTAATCCTTCAGCGAACTGAAAATTTTTACCAAGAACGGCATTTTCAGGAGACTTCAGTGCTGGAATATATGGGGGTTGAAGTAGAGTGGATGAGGATGGGAGCTTTCTGCTGTGCCTCAATTCCTTTACGGCCGCAGGCATATCCGCAATATCTTGATAGTAACCAAGGCGGTTGACACGATGCCATGCAGATGTTTTGCGTAGAAAAAGTCGCACATATCTATTCAATCATTAATTACATCATTGCATTTGGAGTTGGCTACAAGGCAGTCACTGACAAATATTGAGCTTCATAGCTTAATCTTCTCCAGTGATCGAAGACTGCCATTTCCGTTTCGTCAAACAAATGGGTTTCGTCTACCAAAACGCTTTCCAATGCGACGTTAAAGGCATCCACATATATGGAACTTTTGCCTTTCACCCATCCCCATTCTTCATAGCGGTGGTGCAGGTTCGCGGCACCGTTTTCGGTCGTCAATTCTTGGGCTTTTGAAGCCTCATAGTCCGCGATCGCTTCATAGTCCGTTTTGATAGGGGGAAGAGAAGATTCCAAATCAGTTTGGGTGCTAGGCGGATAATCTTCTACGCCGCTTGTATTGTTGATTCCATCATCATCATTAGATCCAGCCTCCGTTTTTTGATAGAGGTATATAATTTTCTAATGGAAAAACTTCTGACTCAGATTCTGCATTCGAAAAGAGGTCACCAGGGCTTCCTGCTCTCCTCAGTCGTTTAGGAGGCGGACCTATATCCTCCATATTGAACTCTCAGGGAGGACATTGGAAGAATCCCCCTACACGCAGTTACGCGCGGATGGTGGCCCGAATACCGCTTGAAATGTATGGATAATCCCAGTATTCGAGAAGCGAGGGGGTTAGTTCACAATGAAAATTCAGAACATTCTATCATTGCAAGGTGAGAAACGGTCGTTTCTCCCGCAGCGAAAGGGTTGATCAGGCAGAACGCGCTACTGTCGGGAGGAAAAACAGATAGTCACATGACATTTTAGTTTCAGCCAAGTTGTTTGTATTGTTTGCAGTTAAGCTCAACCTCAAGCGTCCATCAAAGCAAGGAATGCGATAACACCAATGATGCCTTAAACCTGTCTACTCCGGCATGACTGAGGCATTCAAAGACCATCCCAATCGCTGCATAGTCTGAGGCTTATCTGCGCTCTCCCCTTCCTCCTCCGCCTGCCAGCAATTCGCGGTTGTCCCACTCAATTCCACAGCTTGGCGCAGAATCGGAGCTATCCAAGTCGCTTCTATCTAAATAATACCACAACCATGAAGGACGTAGATGCTGTACGTAAAACCAAATATCCTATGTACTTTGAAAGCTGCTCTTTATGAGTGGTATCCACAAAATATCATTGTCATATTCACTCGTTCTGTATACCATACCATTCGGTGATCTGAAATGCTCCCAATCTTGTAACAAGCAGGAAGCTAACAGCATTCCCCACTGTAAAATCAAATATTTAAACATAGTCCATACAACCGCTCCCTGAAGAAACTAGTCATCCTCTTCCCACTCCTCTCTCGCAACATCCACCTGTGCCAACCGATCTCATTAGCACCCACGCCAACAACACTACCGTGCAATCGAATCCCGACGAAAGGTGCGACATCACAATGTCCGGAGGCGGGATGAGTAATGACAACCAGTCGCAACCCCAGTCTCAGCCTTCCGTACCAGCTGTGTCCTCTGTTTCCGCAACTAGCTCCGCAAATACCTTTCACTTAAACACAAGCAACAATGCATCCACAACCCCGATACCGCAAGTGCGGCTCGGCGGGGCACCAGCGCGTGTGTACTTGAACGAAAAGATAGTGCCATATTTATTAGAAGGAATGAAGACACTCGCGAAAGAGCAGTTAGTACTTTTCGCTCTTAGTTTGTTCCTTATTCTTTTCTCCCTCCTCTTCTCTCACTCCAACCTTGCGCGTGAAAAAATCAACGAAATGTTTCCCCCACTTTGCCCAGCTATGCATGAGAGAACTAACAGTGAAGTGAAAACTCCCTCAGACCCTCAAAACCCCTGCGAGCCCTTGGTGAATACCTTATACAGAAGAGCAATGAGGTTGAGGAATGAAGAGATAGAATTACATGCGTGACGCATGAATATTCGTTGCATATCATACGCCAAATACGCTGGGAAATAGTTGTCGACCTATACGCAATTTGGCGATTTTTATTTTCCAAACGAAGGGGAAATTTGGGCGATTGTTACAAGTGGACTATTGAAATGATCGGATAACACTGGGCAAAGAAAAGCTAGCGATAAGCAATCTTATTTTAATTGGTTAAACTAAAGGCAATCAGGAAGATTGTTTATGAAATGCGCTGAAGGACAAATTCGGGTTCCCGGCGATCGGCGTTGTTTGAAAATTGTGTCATGTATATATATGAATGCTTTCTCAGGGGACTTGCATACCCTTATTGTTGTTATGTTCTACATCCCTTTAATCAGCTGATAGAGTTCACTTGATTGATCTCATTCTTCCATCACTCTATTCGGTATGAAATGGCACTGGTTGATTTGTGTTTCGCAATGTTGTAAGCTAGGTGAATAGGAAGGCAGGGCGTTTGCGGTTTTATCAACCAAAGAGCACCGGGTAAAGAATCAAGCCGGAAGGGATGTAGGGCTAACAGAGAGGGGTAAGCTTAAATAAGGGTTCAAACAGGATTTGTTTC